TGTGTAAGAGAGAGAACTCGGATACACGACCTTTACATGGCAACGCTCTGTTAAATGATCTCAACTACTGGAGCTGGGGATATGAGGTAGCGTGCTCACAAAAGTATTCCCCTAATAAAACCCATTTCACACTCTTGGTTCGATCTACAGATTCAAGGAGAACATCATTTAAAATGGTAGACAGACTACCTTCACAGGTCCATCCTAAACCTGAACCAGAACAATGGGTGGGAGCATGGTTGTTGACAAAGCATAAAGGCTGAGCTAATTTGGGCAGAAAGAAAGAAGATAATTAATCCCAACCAAAGGGAATGATGCAAAAGGGAAATAGTAGTTCGAAGACAAGCGAGTCTCATTCTGTGGACACCGACCGTCCAGTTCCGTGTGCCAGTCTTAGTCTTAGAGAATGAACAAAAAGCTTAGACACCGAATGTAAAAGTGAACAAGTTACATATTATTGGTGTAAACCAATTTGCAACAAAGGGAACCGATCCTCTCATGAGAACTGAATTAGCACTATAAACCCAACTTCAAAGTAGCGAATTATCATCATACTTTACCGATGGTCTGTCACAGGTAAACGGCTGGCTCGTTTGAGCGTTGGTGTAGTCCCGTTTGTCATGCAAGCCGCATCTCTGAGAAAAATTAAATTGTTTTAGAGTACGGCGCTGGTCCGACTCCTAATCACAGTCTTGAAGGGGAGCGGATAGTTTCTTTACACAAGCAGCTACACCCCTCTTGGCGGTACAGGTAAAGATGGCTTCCGTGTAGTTTACCAAATGAAGACTGTCTTCATGCAGGTGCGCAAACCGACTGCTCATGAGAAATCGTGGGACAGCTGCAGTTGTCCGGTCGTCTGCACTACGTGATGCACAAACTTCGCCGTGTCGGGAGGAGAAATAGAACAAACCATCGTTGTCTACAACACATAGTAAGAGTGTGGTCAGTTCAATTCGGGTTTGTGCAACCATTATCCATGAACCTACGTGCACCAGTTTTGGTTGCTGTTTTTTGGCGGCTCATTTGGATGAACAGTAGGAGGGGAGTAAATGGAGAATTTCAGTAGATTAAGATTGTAAAGTGAGAAAATGAGATGCACGAATGCCAGAATCACTCATCGCAAGTACGACAGGGGGGTTGGGAAGTGTTCGATTTGGCGACCCGATCTTCACTGGGTAGAGCAAAGATGGGAGCGTATGCAGCAGGGACAACGAAAACAGGGTCCGTGGATCACTAAGTGATAAGGGAACTGAAGTGATAACCGATCATGAACTCTGTCCATACGGTGATTAGGCAGCATCAATGCTCGAGTTAAGGGATAATACTTGTGTATATAGCAGATAGCTAGCCAGACCAACCAATACAGCACTGGGGGCAGAATGCATTCCAGTAATAGGGACAAATTTAGCTATCTGCCACCATGTACCTGGAATTGTTTATTCTGAATCAAATTTGTGATAAAAATGGATCTCGTCTGTACGTGGGGTGTTCAGAACCAGGTTGTATAAAATCGATCGCAAGCGGTTGGAAGGCGGGATACACTTTAAGGGCGCGAACGCTGGCGAGATAGAAAGCAAAATGATCTAGGGAGGTGGGAGGCAGCGGGGTGGGAGTGGGGCAACCGGGGACGACAAGAGCAGGAGAACCAAATGTGATTCACGGATGGGTGCAAGCGAATGGTATCAGGATAGGGGCATTTTGTTTCCAATGCCAAAAGAAGATTTTTATATGGACGCAAAACAATCTATTTAGTTCCAACCCGAGATGAAAAGAGAACGTAAAAGGGAAACTGGCAATTAAAATTACTCATCATTGGTTGCAGAGCAAATAATGAATAATGCCCAGACGTTTATGGGCACATTCAGGTGAACAAAAGTCGAACATTGAAAACAACCTATTGTCTGCTAGTATTATAGCCCCCCCACTCGGTTTACTGAAGATTGCTCCCCAGGGAGTACAAAACAGAGGAAACAGGGTAAAGCTTCATTCGAATCTTTCACGTTTATTTGTGATTATATGACAAGATAATTGGTATCCAATTTCTATCGTAAATCTACCTGAATCGCATATGACGAGGCCGTCTAATGAAATAATCCTATGAATAGTTTGGTTTTGGACAGTAATGTTTGTGAAGCACATGCTAAACTATCGCGCACGAACGTGAACCATCCGTTTTAAACGACAGCTACAGATGTATCATACTGTGTGAAAAGTTAGCCGATTACAACAGGAAGCAATGCCGAAATGTAATTCGGATAGGTAAAGCTGCAATCGGCGTGATCCAGCAGCATTATGGATATATCGATTCAAAGGAAGATCGAATACGCGAGAACACGAAAAACGAATGAAAATCGCTCACTCGAGCACCGGACTGCCATAATGGCCAACGCTTATTAGGATGTTCTGAGCTTACGCAGTATAGGTATTCGGCCTGTGGTGTTGCAACTGGTTAACAGCAGTGCTAAAGCGGTGCAGGTCGTTAGCCAATTACCTGGTGCTCTGTGAGTTCAAACCCCTTGACCGATGCCCCATCTCCCCGCTCACCGGTTGGCACCGATCAAATGACTGCAGCCCTCTTCGTAAATATTGCTTCCACGATCATTGCATAATAAATTAGGAGAAATGGAAAATACGCAAGGTTTATGCTGGAAGGCTTTTGGTATCTATCTACCATCGGCATAACACCTCTATGAATAAACTGATCGGATGAAAGAATTGACCATCCACGCCATGCGGCTTAAGATCTCCACAGGATAGGTGTGGCATTGCGGCAGACAAAATGAGAATGCCGAAAATGGGGAGAAAACCTCGGATCTTGGGGATTGATGCGAAAAAATCGCATGAACTCAAACCGCTTAAACCGGATTCATTATCTCCTTCGAGCTGACTGAAGAAAAAGCGCTACTAAAACAAACCAAACTAGAACATGAATATACATATATACATATATCCAAGACTGTCAAGAGTGCCTGCTGTCTCTGAAAAATCGAACGGGATAATCCAAGCTTGATACTATAAATATCTGGTCCACAGTCAAATAACGCTATCGCCTATCACCCCGTTGATCTGTGCATGACATTTGGCTACGTAAGAACTGGCGGTTCCAGCTCCAATCAAAATAGTGACTGGTACTGGGAAGATACTCGCATTTTCCTCCACGAAGCCGACTTAGGTGCACGTGAAAGAAAATAGTTCCGAAATACAGAGGTACTGGGATTGACTTTCGGAGCACTCGTCAGAGACGTATATGATAAAGTCGATAAAATCATAAGACAGAATAAATAAAACGATTAGAAATCATTTCGGTAC